CGCGCGGGGCAGCTCTTCGATGGTGCCCCCCAGGGGGGGGGTGGGCGGCCCCCCAGCCACCCTTGCTCCCCGCCACAGCAGCGGTCCCCAGCACCCAGAGCAGGCAGCGGCCACAGCTCCCCAGTGGGTGGCTGCAGCGCGGAGCCTTGTGGAGGCCATGGGACCCCCCCAGGCCAGACCCACGAGCACCCGTAAGCCCCACATGCAGAAAAGCAAAGAGCAAGCATTTCCAAAGCAGTGGGGGACGTTTTGCTGTAAAACCGTGGGGGGCAGCGGTACAACACCCCCGGCTCAGCATCGTCACCCTGGGGCACAGCCTGCCTCCCACGGCTCCTGCCCAGCCGCTCCCCACCAGCCCCGGCACTGGCTCCAAGACCAGGCTAATGCCTTTCTAACATTATTTCGAATGTCAGGCCAGATATTGAGGCTTATTAAATAACATGCAAGTGATGAATCGATGGTTATTACTTTGATTAGAGAAGTACGGGTTCTGTTACACAAGCAAGATGTCGGTAACCGCAGTTGTTCCCACCTTTCAGAACACAATTCTGCTGCCTGCCCCCACCCCAACAGCCAGCTGCACATCACACACCTTCCTCTGAACATGAAATTTCATCAGCAAGCGATAAATTATTTAAAACCCCTGTAGTACTGGAGACACACGCGCGCACACACACAGCTGCGGCATCCATGAAACCCCAGCCAGGGCTGGGGCGAGCTCGCAGCCCTCTTCTCTGCGTGCGGGTGCTCCGGGCGGTGCATTCCCACCAGTAACCACAGGGATCCGGCCATGCTGCCTGGATGGGGCCAAGGGGATGTGCCACAGTGCCAGGGGTTCCCCTGAGCGCTGACGAGCAGGGCCATGGCTGGAGCCATTCACTGCTGCTGGGCTCTGCTGCCCGCCTGATCTCGCCCAGCCTGGCCCAGGACTGCGGGGTCCTGCCAGAGCCAGGTGACAGTGCAGGAGTCAGGACCTCCCACTCCCAGTGAAAGGAAACCCAAAAGGCTCCTTGAGCATCCCTGGTACAGACTCCCCTGCTAATTTTCATGGTATAAGCAACCAAGCATACTGCAGTCCCAACACTCCCCTGCAGCTCTTACATGTGACAACAGCACAAAGTCATGGCAGGCAAGCCAGAATGGCTTGGGGGGGAGCAGGGATGGCAGAAGGGCCAAGCCAAGTAGCCATCGTAACAGTTTGGGTCTGAGCGTGCAAGAGAAAAAGTGCCCTATGCTGCCTGCAGAGCACACAAGCTTAGAGTCACCCTCCAGCGGTTCCCACTCTGGCTGTTCAGCCAGGTTTGCAGGGATCCCACCCACGCCCGGGAGCCCCAGCATCCAGCCTGCTCTGCTCCCCGCCGGTGTCGGGATGCAGGACGAGCCCTGGGCTCCCTCCCAGCTCCTACATCAGCAGCACCACGCTGTAACCAGAGTCACCCCAGTCACAGCCTGGCATCGCTACAGCGCCCTGCTCAAAAGTCACAAGCTTTGGACGTCACAAACTACACAATTAAAAATAAATAAAAAAAATACAGAGAAAGCTTGTTTCCAATGTCAGCCCGTCCCAGCTGCTCTGGTCACTGCAATCGCCCCATCCCCAGCAGGAAG